AAAGTATAATTAACTACAACTTACAGTTTATAATAGGGATTATTTACTATTAATTATTTTAAAATTTTTGGGCAACTAATACAAGTTTCTACAAAATATTACTATTTGTTCATAATCATTCGTTGCTGTGATTTAATAAGGGAATAAAACTAAATTTTTTGATTAAATTTTCATAAAAAAAAAAAATTAAAATAACTGATGATATTTATTAGAAAAATAAATATTATTGTAGTCTCAAATTTGGACTTTATTATTTCTTATTATTAGTTTTTATTTTTTATTTTTCTGTATAAATAAATTAATTAATGATATAATTTTCGCCTCAAAGTATACTTACATTACAGTATCTTACACGTACATCTAGAATATAGCAATACTAACACTTACTTGAATACTATCCTCTGAACTTAGGTTTATATTTTCTTTTGCTTCTTTGTTTCTCTGAGCCGATAATAATTGAATTCATGTCAGATAACGTCCCAATATTTTGTTCATAGATAATGTCCCAATTAATTCTTAATTTGTATTTAATTGACACCATGTTAATCTTGTTCCTTTGTTGATTTTGTAGCAAAGGTGTGAAAAATAAACTTGGTATCTATTAGAGCATGACTATATTTTACTCCATTACATAGACCAGTTTATCTTGGCATCTCCGTAATGATACAATCTCCGTTTTTTCTCTACAAATGAAAAAACAAAATTAATTACTAATGTAAATAATCATTTTTTTACGTTCAAATGTAAAGATATGCTTAGTAAATGAACTCACCGTCTAGAGCACTAGTTTTACACAGTGCACGTGTTTTCTCGATTTCGGAGCACACCACAAACTCTAGTGTTTTTACAAAAAGTACACTTATTTTAGTCACTACCTAATAAATAGTTTTTCTAGTATTAACATTTACACACCTTTTTTTACGTATAACTGTTCTACAATATGCAAATATACTTTTTTTTTCTTTATATATTGTAGCGCCGTAACCTCTGGTGAAGTATTCACATGCAAAAATATACTCAATATGCACACAGTACAAGGGCCTTCGTACTATTCTCGACCCGTAGATGTATTATAAAGAGTGGAGCAGAGAGAATAACGAAGGCAACCATAGACATATACATAACAAGAATTGACTGCTCACTTAGACCTATTGAGCTGCTGAAGCCCAGGCAAAAAGAGATAAAGACTTGAGCGTGGGTGTATGTTTCTCTCCGATCTTCAGTTTATCGAAACACTGAATCAGACCCCTGATATGCTTTGCAGACAAATCAATTTTAGTTAGAACTCATTAATAAAGATTAATTTCAGATAGTATGTAAAATGACTCTGAACATCTCCGAGCTAGTGATAATATACATTTATATTTTTCACTGGACCAATAGATAGAGGTACACATTTCTATTAAATCGTGCAGCTAAATACTAAAGTTTGAATTCGAATTTTAAAAAATTATTTAGTAAAAAGACTAACTCAAGTATATTGCTTAGTAAAACATGCCAAAAAAAATGTTATTTCTTTAACTATCGTTGATTATATTTTTTTTTTAAAGTAATAACAATAAAAATTAATAAAGTGCAGATTTGAGACTGTATATATATATATTATACGCTATAAATTTCAGAAAGATATAGTTAATAGTTATCAGTTTTAAATTATTTATTTTTTTACTTTCTCTAAAATGATTTTCTTATGTTAAATAATGTTACAACCCCAGTACCCTGATGGTGGGTTCCACGTGGAATTTACGTAGACAACCATCGTAGTTTATCGTAAACGTATCCGAGTGAAATTTTACCGAATTCATAAAATTCCACGTGGATTTCTTGTGGACACGTCCACGTGTAATCATCCAAATTTGGAAAACTTCCACGGTAACATGTTTACGTAAGACTCCGATGGTTGTCCAAGTGAACAATCCACGCACAACTCGTCAACGGGGCACGTGGAATCCCATTACGTCACTTGGGTAATAAATAACATACCGTTAATTCATGTCCAAGGTGTCAACGAGTACGATATCGGAACACGTTTTCGGAAGCAGCACCGAGGAGTCGTCGGACAATTCCCTCCTTCGACGTGAAGGTCAGAGCACCGAAAACTTATCCGAGCCCACGAGCCCTGAAACCACCAGTACTTACGCATCTACTAGCACGACCAAGACAACGACAAGAGCATCAACGACGACCCTGGGGACGACTCTGGAGTTAAACCTCGATAATAATGACAACGAAAACTGGCCGTGGAATTCCAACTCGAGAAAACCACCGAGACCAGCCCAGCGAACCAAACCAGTGGTTAGCAGTTCGGTGAGTCACCATCAGGCTCGGAAGGAGTATGGTCCAGGGATGGAGGGCACGGAGAAGCGTAGGTTCCCAGAACCCCACAAGAGTCCCGAGAAGACAACCCCAGCAGCGACCACGACGACAATGACGCAAGAGCGTCAGCACAAGTGCTTCTGCGAGCCGGATCCCTACGACAGTGCGAAGGACGAGTTGGAGGCGGCCAAGGAGGAGAAGCGCCGGTTGAAGGAGGAACGGCTGCGCAAGAAGGAACGCAAGTTGAGGAAAAAAGCGAAGCTCGAGAAGGACTGCCTGACCGAGAAGATGAACTGTTTCGAGCACGATAACGACCACTGGCGCACCGCGCCCCTCTGGAGCGCCGGCCCGTTTTGTTTCTGCATGAACGCCAACAACAACACCTACTCGTGTTTACGCACCATCAACACCACCCACAACTTTCTCTACTGCGAGTTCACCACGGGACTCGTCACCTACTACAATCTCAGGATCGGTATGTAATTAACTGTTTGCTTTTTATTGCCATCTCCAGTAAATAAATCCAGTAAATAAATGCTCGCATGTGTCATCTGGAATTTCTGCAACTACATACAAACAGAAGGTTGAATCAAACATTTTTTTTTTAATGTATAATCTTTTGTGGGCACTACCATACTGGGCAAATAATTCAATTCATTATTGATTATCCAGGTAGTTACATTATAGCAAAAGAGAAAAAATCATTTTTTTTTTTAATTAATTTGATAAGAACTTTGAAAATTTAAATAAACAAGTTGATGCATTGAAATCATTGATTTTAAAACGGAGTAGCTCGAAAGTCAACGACGATCGACACCGATTTTTTATAATAAAAAAACTAAATATTCTTGCTAGAAAAATGTTTACAATTGTTTTTATTAATCAAATAATTATAATTTGGTACAAAAATTATTTAATTGTTAATATGAGAAAATGTGTTACTAGTATCACATTAATATTAGAAAAAAATTTAATTAATGTTGATTATTTTTAAGTTTAAATTTATTTAAAAACCGAAAAAATATTTGTAATGATAAAAACTATAGTTATTTGAATAAATTTTTTTTGTGCAATTATGATAACTCTAATCTACAACACTACTTTATGGTATTTCTA